CTTAAAAAAAAAAAAAAAAGATAATGTAATTTTTCCATTAACTTTCTGAAGCCCCCAAAAGTAATAAGCCAGAAAGTATGAAAAAATGTGGAGTTCCTACAAGACTGAATAATTTGATAAGAGATAATAGCACTAATTAAGATTTGTGACAAAAAAAGAAGATAAATGGGTGGAACAGGTATATGTTTGATTTTACACATGTTGAATTTAAAGTGCCTATGAGTTGGAACTGATTAGACAGCACTTAACAACAAAAACAACACTACTGAGCTATCTAGTAGCTATTAAGCTTAGTTTATTCATCATCATAAAACAAAAACAACATGTCAGAGAGAAATAAGATATCTGTAAACATAATACAAATAAGAAGTGTGTGGAAAAATAAAATTAAAAGGTTAAGAAAAAATTTCCACAAACTTTTTGAAGCTCCCTCATCTATGAAGAATTACACCTCCACAAGAAAAAGACAACCTGAAAAAAATTATTTATATATAAGCTTGGAAAAACAGTTTTCTGTGATACAGGTTTCAAGACAGTCTGAATGGTTAAAGTGAGGGGGGAAATGTTTAGGTGCTTGACTGCTTTGTGGATACTGGCTTCCACTACCTACTGCTGTAAAATAGACATGTAAGTGTGATAGAAATGAATATTGGGAATTGTTATTACAGAAAGTTTATAATCCTATCTTTGGCCTATAAGTGATTAGATTAGCTAAAAGTAAAATTAAAACTTGCCCAGGGAAACAGACTTCTTGTTAAGCCTTTGTGGAGTATGGGGCTTAGGTAGAATCCTGAGTTCCACCCAGAACCTTCTGAGGTGGGACACTGCCACTTGAAAAGAGACACAGACCAACCCAGAATGGCTGGAAGAATAGAAGATTCTTATTGAAGAAAAGACCAGCAGGAAAAAAAGCAGACTGTTAGGCTGTTAGAATATCAAGCAAGCTGTTGGCTTAGAAGCCATGAAGGCAGGAAAAGTCAGCCATCAGGGAAAACACCCTTCTAAGACTGAAACTCAAAGGGAAACCATGAGTAGTCTAGTATGTCGCTGGTGATCAACCTGGTCTACTTGTGAGTGGTAGGGGGGAAATGAAGCAATGAAGATATGGGTTGAGTTTGACCATGTTCCACTGACACCCGTTGGCCTTGAGATAAGAGAGACAAGAGGAAGGGCTGACTGGTCTGAAGTTTAGGGATATGTATGAACTCCTGAGCCCATGAGTGCTGACCTAGCCTAGCCACTGGGGGCTAGAGCTGAGACTGAAGTGGCCAGCTGGTCTGAAGCGCAGGGAGGTGTGTGTGAACTCGCAAAAAATACTCCTTACCTCAACCATCTGAGATCAAAAGGGCAGCGTATGCCAGAAATAAAGCTCAGAAGCAGGAAGGAATAGTATCCATTTGATCAAGCTTGGTTAGCTGACCAGCTCTTGACCAGATGAAGATAAAGAAGTTTGATACCGTGAGCAAGTGCAAATTGCTACAGTTTGATGAACTGGACCTTTGCTTATGGATGCAGTTGCTCAAAATCCCAACTGGAAGGGAAGGATTCTTCATATCAAGATCAATCTTGTTTCCTCAATGCACTGGGTTGATAGGGATGGGCAACTTTGATAGACAATTGCTATCAAAAATGGGAGGCTATAAAGGCACTGAGTGGCTGGCTTACAAGCTTTCATGAGTGTGCTTAGTTTCAGAATGAGGAGGGTAAGTAGAATCCCCAGTGAGTAGTTTTCCTCTTTTCCAGATGGGTCTGGTGAAAGGTGGTGGGGTAGGATGGGGATAGGATTTTATGATTCAACTGTGAGTAACTGTTAGCAGGATTAACTGCAATTGTCACACTGTAATTGTAGATGTGCAACTAAGAGGGGGAAGTAGTTCATCTTTCATTTCAGAAACAGGATCACAAGACCATTAAGAAGGAAGAATATGAGAGGAGTGTGAGATCCTACCTAGGGGAGCAGCAAAGGCAGAGATGGTGGCAGAGGTGATGGCATGGAGAGAGAGAGCAGCTGAGGACTCATAGACTGAGAAAGACTGTGGTCTGTGGGCAGGAGGCAGGCTTGCAAAAGGTGACCTTTGGACATTTAAATGAATACATATTTTTTGTTTTGTATGTGTACATCAAATATTTTTCCTTTGTTGATTTGTGAAAAATAAGATATAAAGGGAAGCCACAGGGTAGAAGCAGGGTAACTGTGGTTGCAGGGAGGAGATTGTAATCATTGACGTAAAGCAAAACGCATGAGTGACTGAGAGTAAAGCTGATGTTCTTGTCTGTTAACCTTCACTCAATTCACAATAAAAAGTGGAAAAAAAAAAAAAAAAGGCACCCTGACAGGGAAATGTGAACAAAAGAGTTTAACAGCTCTTCACAAAGCCAAATGGTCAACCTCAGTAATTGCTGTTGTTGTTTTTAAGTACTATTGAGTCAGTTCCCAGTTCCGACTCATAGTAACCTTGGATAGGGATTCCGAGAAGTAGTTGGTCGGTTTGAACCACCAATATTGTGGTTAGCAGTCCAGTACTTATCCTACAGTGCCACATCATTAGTAATTAAGTAAATGGGTATTAAAACCTTGATGAAAGTATCACTACATACCCACCAGATTGGCAAAAACTAAAAATCTGATGCCATCAAGCACTGGGGAGGATGTGGAACATTTACATGCAGCTTGGAGTATAAACTGGTACAAGCACTTTGGAAAGTAAAGAAATTGAAGATTTGCATGCCGTATGACCCAGTAATTCCACACATTGGTATGTATGTTAGAGAAATTTGTGCATATGTAATCAGTATAGTATATAGGAATGTTCATCATCACAGCACTGTTAATAATAGCTCAACCTGGAAATTTCTAAATGTCTATTAATAGTAGAATAGATACATTATTATATATTCATATCGTAGAGTACTGTACAACAATAAAATGATGAATCTTAGTGGCATAATGTTGAACAAAGAATGAAGAGAAGTGAAAGAAAACATAATTATATAAAATTTGGAAACAGGGAAAACTAAACTGTATGCATCAGAGATGCACACAAAAATGACACAATTTTAAGGAAAAGCACAGAAGAGATTCCTACAAAACTGAAGGGAACTCAGTGTTTGGATAGTCTTCTGAGGCACTGGTGATATTCTCTATCTTGGCCATAGATAGCAGACAGATGGGTAATATTATACTGTACCTTTGTTTTATGAACGTCTCTATTTATTATGTTCCTTCTTTTTTTTAGTTAAAATAGTACTGGTCAGAGGAAACGGGCTAGGACAGGAGATATATTGAGATTCACTGTTGTAAAGAGGGCTCCTGAAGCCATGTAAGTGAGACCCTTTATTCAGGCAGTTTTTTTTTAAGCCCCAAACTTGGATTCTCTGGGACTTAACATAAACATTCAGAACTGATAAAGGTGACTGAAAACAGAAAAATAAGAAAGAGAATCAAAAATGAATGTTAGGAAAGCCAAGGTCAGAGAAAATTCTACCACAACAAATGACATATTTCAATCAGGATGAATACTGATGAGATCACTGCATCTGTCCGTTAGGATTTCAGCGATCAATTTATTGACAGTCATTTGCTGACATTTATTGACAGTCATATACGCCTGTTGAGAGAAAATTCTTCTCTATTTTTCAAAAATGATGTGACAAGTTAAATTTCATTTAAATAACACATGAAACACGCCAAGGTCTTCATTTTAATAAGTATTTCAGAAGAAACAAAAAGACATCTAAAATTTTGCTATCTAATGACTAAGATACATAGAAATATGGCAAAACTGTACAACTTTCTTGAGGTTAGAAAAGTACAGAAAACTAAGGAATACAGGACTCCTGCTATAGTGCTGCAGTATAAGCACTATACAGGGTCGCTATGAGTTGGACTTGAACTGACAACAATAATCACATGAGGAATATAACCAACAGAATATAAAAGAATGCTTTTTGTAATACTTATTAAAGCCATAATATGCTGATTACTTTTGATCAAGAGATGAGGCTATAAAATATTATTTTCTGTTGTTTAGTGCCACCGAGTCAGTTCTGATTCACAGAGACCCTGTGTAGGGTTTTCAAGGAGTGGCTGGTGGGTTTGAACCACTGACCTTCTGGTTAGAAATTCAATGGTTATCCTACAGTGCTATGCCATAACCCCAATATAATATTAGTATCATATCATATTATATGTAAGCCTCGGATATTAACTGATTTTTTAAGTGAAACTTAAAGGGACATTTCAGATAGAAAGAAAATTCTAGATGTAGAAAAAAACTGTACTGTGTCTTGAAACACAAGATAGTCAAAAACTTTTAAAAACACAAAATTGTACACATAATACTTTGCCCATCTAGGAAGCTTACTACTGAAAATTATTCAGTCAGTGGGATGAAGATATGCCATTATTCAGGTGCAGGGAGAAGGAGGAACTAGTATATTATTTTTATATGTACTTTACTATTTTCATACAGTACCTGGATTTCAAGCTCTGCAATGTGTTGCTGTAGTTCAGCCACCGCAGCTATGCTATCTGCTTCCCGAAGTCTCACAGCCATCACCTCTTCCTTGTTCTAAGGTGGTACACAAAACAATAATCAACAGCCAAGGGTTGGTCACAAAACATAAACATGTGTAACTTGTTTATACACCTCTATTCAGAAAATACCTATTACTAAATGAAAAAAAAGTCAATATAAAATGAAGAATGCATATATTGAGTAGAATTTCATTTTTACATTGTTAGAAACACAATTTCATGTAAATAAATATTGCTAAAAATGTTAAAATTAAAAACCAATTAAAATTAACTGGTGGATATGAAAACAACTTTTTTATGCAAAAACAATTACTGAGAGCTTTCAAAAGATTAACAGTGAATATGAATATTAACAGTATGGTAACTACTATAATGAATAGGTAAGGTTATATTCTAATAAAACTTTATGTATAATACCAGGCAGCCAGTTGGCTCTGGGCTATCCTGACCTCTGATCTAGACAATCAACCAAATAATATTATCAAGCTCTGACTTAGCCAACTTTATGAGATGTAATACCCCACCTGATATCAAGTTACTAAAAGAACACAGTCAGAACTGTGTTTTAACTGAATGTATAGTTGGGAAGAGAAATGCAGCAGCACATGTATCTACAGTATTTCCATCATACAGAAACAACAGACATAGTCTCAGGACACAAATAGAAAACTGTGGTAAAAAAATAATTAGGAAATGAGTGTTTAGTACCTAACATCTTTCTTTTAGTAAAATTTATTTGTTAACAGAATTTAATTTCAGTATGGCTATATGAATCAGAACTGACTCCACAGCACTTAACAACAACAGCAATTAACAACTATGTCTCAAAATTTCTGATAATTTAACAATTTGCTCTTGCATGCCTTTACTAGCTGATTCCAGAGCACACCATTATGTCTACTTTTAATAAAATCTCATCCTGACCGTTCCCTTATTTTGAACACTTCAATGGCTCTCCACTGAACTTAACATCCCAGGTCCTCAAACCAGTGTCTTAAGATCTACATGATTTGTTCCCTGTTCACTGTGTTAGCTTTTAAGTATTCTTCACCAAACTTCCCACCCTATATTCCAGCTAGAATGAATGTCTCTTAGTTCAAATAAACAACCTATAGATTGTTCTCACCTCTGCTTCTTCACAAATGCTATTCCCTCTGCCTAATGAATTCTCTCTGACTGTTCCTTTACTAACTCCTACATATCCCTATAGTCTCAGATATCTTTTCTTAGCTACCTTCCCTGGACCATTACCCTAACATTAACTCCAATTATAGTGTCCTGAGCCTCCTGAATCACAACACTCTCCACACTGCACTGTAATTGTGTTTCCTTGTCGTTCGTTATCCTTTACTAAATGAGTAAGCTCCTTGAGGACAGACACGCCATCAACAGTAGACATTAAGTTTTCAGATGCCCTGACCAATACTTGACTACAATCTCATGAAGGACTCTGAGCAGAACCATATTGCTAAGCTGATACTGAATTTCTGGCCAAAAGAAATGGTACGATATTAATGTTGCTGTTGTTGTTAAGGGCATGTGCCACTGAGTTGGTTCTAACTCATAGCGCCCCTATGCACAATAGAACGAAACACTACGTGGTCCTGCGCCATCCTCACAACTGTTACGTTTCAGCCCACTGTTGCTGCCACTGTGTCAATATATTTTATTGGGGGCCTTCCACTTTTTCATTCACCCTCCACTTTACCAAGCATGATGTCCTTCTCCAGGGACTGGTCCCTCCCGATACCATGTCCAAACAATGAAAGACGAAGTCTCAATATCCTGACTTCTAAGGAACATTTTGGCTGTACTTCTTAAAACACAGATTTGCTTATTCTTTTGGCAGTCCATGGTACTTTAAATATTCTTCGTCAAAACCATAATTCAAATGCACTGGTTCTTCTACAGTCTTCCTTAATTAGTGATCAAATTTCACAAGTGTACAGGGTGATTGGAATCCTGGTGTAGTACTGTGGGTTAATGCTCTGGACTGTAAAGTAGGTATGGAATGCAAGGTTGGTGGTTCAAGCTCACCAGTGGCTCCTTGGGAACCCTATGCAGAGTCACTATGAGTTGGAACTGACTTGATGGCCCTTACCAACAATGAGATGATTGATAATAACATGATTTGGGTCAGGTGCACCTTAGCCCTCAAACTGACATCTTTGCACTTGAACACTTTAAAGAGGTCTTTTGCAGCCTATTTGTCTAACACAATGTTTTTTTGATTTCTTGACTGCTGTTTCCATGAGTGTTGATTGTGGATACAAGAAAAATGAAGTTTATTGTGATGTTATTTATTGGTCCCATTGTGAGGATTTTTGTTTTCTTTACAATGAGGTACAATCCATACTGACGACTATAATCTGTGATCTTCATCAAAAAGTATTTTAAATTCTCTTTTAGCAAGCAAGATTGTGTCCTTTGTATATCACAGGTTGTTAATGATATTCCTCCAATCCTGATACTATGTTCTTCTTCATATAATCCAGTTTCTAGGATTATTTGTTCAGTTTACATAATGAATGAGTATCAGGAAAAGATACAACCCAGGTGCATACCTTTACTAAGTACTAATTTTCCCAAATCTTCCTCCTCTCTAAATTAATCATTAAGATTTACTGGTCTTCTACAAAATAAATCTTAAACTATCCTATTATAGCTCCATTGCCAATACTTTAAACTAAGCTAACAAGTCCTGAATTATTACCTGATCGTCTCATATCAAATCTCTTTTAATCTCTCTCAAACCTCACCTTAAATCCACTTTCACATGCAGACATGTATGCTTTTGAAAAATAATTAATTGCTCCAGGCAAGATCCACTAATAAATCTAAAGGTTTAACAAGGGAAACTGTAAGAATGTTTGCATAACCTCAACGCATTTCCTCTCGTTATGTGCAATTGAGTCAGTTCCAACTCACAGCAGCCTTGTATAGGGTTTCTAAGGAGCAACTGGTGGGTTTAAATCACCACCGTTGTAGTCAACAGTCCATTGCTTATTCTACAATACCACACCAGGACTCCCATCTCCTCCCTTGTTGTTATGTGCCATTAAGTTTGTTCCGACTCATAACTACCCTGTATGGGGTTTCTGTAGTTATTAATTATTGTTGTGCTTTTAGTATATGCCCACAAGTGCTTTGGTAAGCTTTCACCTAGGAAGTGGAGCTTACTTCCCTCCCCTTGAATTTGTAATGAATAGAGTATGGAAAGGAAGAAAAAAGACAGCCGTGGACAAACTTGGCACACACCAACTTTATCAAGTGACTAAGGCCAAAATCAGTAGTAATAAGATATATCATACCATGTGCCCATGTGCGGAGAAGGACACAACACCTGTGGTATTCTTCCCTCAACCTCAGTCTAACCATGAGAAAACATCAAACAAATCCAAATAGAAGGAAATTCTACAAAACACCTAATTGGTACTCTTCAATAGCCAAGGTAAAGAAAGCAAGAAAATATCAAGAAACAGTCAGAGATCACAGGAGACTAAAGAAACATGATGAGACCCGATGGAGAAACCCAAAGTCTGTACTGTACTAATAATATCGTACTGATCTTGAGTTCTTGGTTATGTCAATGAACAATGGTTATATGTGATGTTAACACTAGCAAGAGCTGAGAGAATGGCATGTAGGAACTTTGTATATTAACTTTGCCACTTTTCTGTAAACATGAAATTATTTCAAAATGAAAAGTAACAAAAAGACCTGAGACAAGTATAGCAAAATAAAGGAAAGAAACTATAAACTATTACATCATGTTTCTTTTCTACTTAAAACCTTTCAATGGCCTCCACCTCAGTCAAGAATAAAGCCCAAACTCTTTTCCATGGACTACTAGGATCTACAGGATAAGAAATAAGAGTCCTCACCTACCTCCCTGGCTTTCTTCTGTTCAGTTTTTCATTATATACTAGATTCAGCAACCAAACTCTTTCCTGCTTTGGATTTTGTGATCCTTTTCATACAAGGGTCTTCCTCCAGTACTACATACAGCTTGTTTTTCTCATTTTTCAGGTCTCAGCTCAGATACCATTTCCTGGCACTTGACCTAAATGTGCACCTCCCCTCTACCTCTGTTCTATACCATTCTACATTTCTTTCTTATCATTCTTCCCAATTCAAAATAATCTATTTTTACCTATTGCTCATTAAGGAGTATGTTCATCTTCTTCATAACTGTATCCCTACTGCTTACAAAAGTCCCTGACAAATAGAAAATGTTCAAATATTTTATTAATATACAAATAAATTCTCACTTTCCCCCATCTGTTTGGGAATTATTGTCCTAGAATATGAGGGGGCTTCAAAATGATCATGGAAAATGTAATTCAAATGAAAAATTTTCACAAACTTTTTGAAGTCTCCTTGTATGCAAATGACATCTATTTAAATTGAACACAATATGTGCCTACACACTTTGAAGAAACTGGAATAATGGAAGCATCTGGTCAAAGTACAAAATAGTACAACCTAAGGAGGCAACTTGACAAGATCTAAGAAAAGTACATGAATACATTTATCTTTGATCCAGAAGCAATCACAGTTATAGAAATTTAACCTAAAAAGATGTGTAGATATACCTGTGCACATCTGAAATTATATAGGTACAAGATTATTGTCTACATGCTACTGACTTATAGTAGCAAAACTCTGGGAACAAGACAGGTATCCATTAATAAAGACCTAATTAAGTCAATTATGGTGTACCCAGACAATAGAAAAATAATGCACCTCAGACACAAATGAACAAGTTCTTCAAACACTGATGTTGAAAGTTTTATAAAACACAATCTAATGAAAGAAAAAAAAAGCAGAACTGTTTATTATAGTATGCGGACACTTGGTGTGGTGTTGTAAGATCAGCATTGGACTGTGAAGCACAAGGTTGGTGGTTCAAACTTACCAGCTGCTCCTCAGAAAACTCATACAGGGTCACTATGAGTCAGAATCAACTCAACAGCACTTAACAACAACAACATCTTTTGTGTAAGAAAGTGAGAAGAAAAATCATATATTTTAACTTCCTAGTACCTGCCTAGAAGAAGCTCTGAAAAGACATACCAGAAAAGAATAAAAGCAGTTATCTGAAGATGAAAGGGTAGGAACAGAATGGGTTAAATTGGAATAGGGTGGAGCAATACTTTCATTTATACTTTCTTCAAAAATTATAAAAGAATTAAGAAAATGCATATATTAGTCATTAAAATTCATATTAAACAAAAGCAATAGGTTTCATTTCTTTCCATCAATAGTCCATATATGTACAATGTTATCATTTTGATTGAGTTTCCATTCTCAAGTGCTGTTGAGTCAGTTCCAACTCATAGCAATCCTGTACAGGGTTTCCAAGGAACCCTGTATAGGTTTCTGATGAGCAGCTGGTAAGCTCCAACAATTGACCTTGTGGTTCAAACGAGCTTTTCAGTTCAGTGCATTAACCCACAGCACCACACCAGGACTCCAATCTCTATGTAGAATTAGAGAATATAAAATGTTTTCTGAAGTCTTGGAATTAAGACTTAACCTAGGAAATCTCACTTCACAGACCTGTTTAATAAGCCCAAGATTTCTTTATTGAAATTGGGGGCAATTGTGTATTGGAATTCCAGATTTTTTGTATTTTAGAACTAATAAGGCGCAAAGGAGTTCCTGAGTAGTGCAAACAGTTAAACGCAAGTACCAGCTGAAACATTGGATGTTCAAATCCACCCAGAGGCACCTCAGAAGACATGACAATCTGCTTCTGAAAAGAGACTTGAAAACTATGGAACAGTTCTACTCAGCACATGTGGGGTTGCCATGAGTTGGAAGGTGCATAATTATACATCAGTATTATCCAATATGAAACAGTATTATTTCTGCAGTGAAATATAAATACTATACCAAGAGAGAGAAATAAAAACTACACAATTATAAAGGGGCTTAAATCAACTCAAACCAGGCTTTACTTTCAATTTGTGTGAAACTGAGGTCAATACTTATGAGTTTCAAAGTGTTTTAGATTTTCAAACTGGGGAAACATAGACCTGTACTTGAATTGTACTGCACATTTCATTTTTAACTGAAAAACAGATTCAATTGAAAACACTATCTCAATATTTCATATCAATGAAGACTGAAAATTTTAATGATTGTAAGTCATAACCATGTAATCACATAAAACTAATTTAAATGAATCTGATTTATATAATTTAAGAATTAGCTTCTTTGCAAAGGTCAGGTTTGTTCTTGCTTTGTTCCAATACAACGAGGTAGAATACATACACTTAATCAGAATGTACTAGGTGCTAGGGTGGACAATTAGCATACTGGTCACTCTTAAAAAATCTGTAAAAACCATTACAAAAGCTTAATCAATATACAGCTTAAATACAGGGGAAAAGATAAGAGCCAGCACATATATTTCAGAGAGTTATTAACAAATAATTTTAAATTATAAAAAAATTTATATGTATATTGTTGTTGTTGTTGTGTGCCGTGGAGTCAGTTTCGACTCATAGCGACCCTGCACAGGGTT